CTTCTTTTTAAATGTTGGCTTTTGAGAGAGAGCGCGCGCGCATGAGTGTGAGCGGGGGAGGGGCAGAGAGTGAGGGAGACAGAATCTGAAGCAGGCTCCAGGCTCCGAGCTGTCAGCACAGAGTCCAACATGGGGCTCGAACTCACGAACTACGAGATCATGATGACCTGAGCCGAAGTCGGACGCTTAACCTGACTGAGCCATGCAGGTGCCCCCCCCCCCACACTTCTATTTTTGTCTGTGATATATTTAGAAGTCTTGCATTTATACTGATAGCACCTGGGGGTTCTTCACAGCTCTCTTCTGTCTTTAGTACCTTCTCCAATATTGAGATTGTAGCCAGTCTCCCGGCCTTGCCAGCCTCTTCTGCCCAGTGTTCCTGTGTGTCTGTTGGGGGTGTGTGGCCTCTGCCCAGCACCCCTCTCCCCCCTGCCTGACAGTATGCCCACTGGCGACCTCCAGCTGCAAAACGAAGATGGGAGGAGCAGGATGGTACAACCTTCGAAGAAATTCACAACTTCCAGTTGGCTGTGTGAGTGGCCCTCACTGCCAAAACTCCAGGAAGGGGAAGTTTCCCCCTTTATATCAGGGATGTTGTAAGGATTTCCAGGTTTCTTTGACAGGAGGTTTTTCAAAGGTGATACATCTCTGGCTGTTTTAGGAGGTCCTTGAATGTTCAATAGTGAGCTCTCTGGGAAGGCCCTGTAGCTGTCCTCTGCTACAGAGGACCCCCCTGCAGCACCTCTACCCGTGTCAGCAGGCTCTGAGAGAGTTACCTGGGACTGGAGTATGTGCTGTGTTTTACGCTGATATGATCTCTAAGAGTTACAAGGTTAGAGCCAAACAAGGTGCTTCTGCCCTTGGGACAATACATGCACTCTGTTTCCAGACTGCAGGCAGGAAAGGGGATTGGAATGCTCCTGAGAGGTCTGAAATCATCAAAGGTGCTGTGGGTCAGTCACGAGAAGACTGAGGGTCTTAGGATTTGTGGGGCATTGGTCCTCAGAGGGGAGTGGCTTTTGTGGTCCTTGGGACAGACACACTTGGGTCTTGGTCACCCACAGTGGGTACACAGATGTCCTGTCAGGACTTTAGAAAGTTCCTCTCATCGCAGGGAGATTTTAATAAGTAAAGATAATTTCCGCAGAGCTGGTGGTTTTGTTACTGGTTTTCAAAGGCCTTCTTGAGCCACAGGAATGGGACCTATGGCTCTTAGAAAAACATGTCACTTGAGTCTAGATTTCCTTCCCCTGCTCCCCAAGCTCACGTGTGAAGCTTTGCAGGGCGAACACCCAGTGACAGCTTCCTTGGCCCAGATCCCAAGGTTATTAGAGATGGGATCTGTGACTGATGTGGCCCATGGGAAGGGAATCCGCATTCCCTAGAAGCAGCATGCTGCTTGCCTTACAGGAGCTATGAGCTCAGTAGAACAGGACCAGGAAATAAGCCTGAGGACAGAGATGTATAGCTTTGTTTGTTTGCATGGGATTTAACGTTGGAAACTTCCACCACTGCTATCTCTGCTTTTCGTGCTTTAAATGTGTGCCCTTAAAAACAGACCAATATTTGAAATCTCCAAATCCATAAATAATGGATTTGTCAAGCACTTAAGCACTGCTGGATTGGCAGGGAGGGGTTAGCCAGTTTTCTTCAATCTGTCTTTTAAAAAATGTGGATTCTTAGAAGAGGCAATGGCCATTTTCTTGGAACCTCAAAGTGTTTATTTAATCACTACACCCAGTGTGGGGCTTGAACTCACGACCCCAAGATCAAGAGTCCCATGGTCTTCCAACTGAGCCACCCAGGCGCCTCTCAAGTCTGATTTTTGAAAAATATTTCCAGGGCGCCTGGGTGGCTCAATCAGTTAAGCATCTGACTCTTGATTTCAGATCATGATCTCATGGTTTGTGAGATGGATGGAGCCCCAACAATCCTGTCGGGCTCTCTGCCCTGACAGTGCAGAGCCTGCTTGGGATTCTTTCTCTCTCGGTCCCTCCCCAACTTGCACTCTCAAAATAAATACTTAAAAAATATATAAAAATATTTCCTTTGGGGACACCTGGCAGGCTCAGTGTGTGACTCTTGATCTCCAGGCCAGGAGTTCGAGCCCCATGTTGGGTATAAAGATTACTACCTAAAAATACAATCTTTTGAGGTGCCTGGGTGGCTCAGTCAGTTAAGTTTCCAACTTTGGATCAGGTCAGGATTTTGCGACCTGAGTTTGAGTCCCACGTCGGGCTCTGTGCTGACAGCTCAGAGCCTGGAGCCTGCTCCACATTCTGTGTTTCTCCTTTCTCTCTATTCCTTTGTAGATTGTTTCACAAATATTCATCAAAACCTGTTTCGACAGACCTACCCACTAGGCTTGCAAGGACAACTGAAAAATTTGGAAGTTCTCCCCAAATCCTCCATGTTACCATTTTTTCCATCCCTTTTGGCATGGTTCTTTTCACGATCAGACATGCAGAGCACACAAAATGGTGCTGTTACAAAGCTGAGCAGGGCCAGAGCAGGCAGGCTCCGATATGCCATCCACCCGCCCCACAGGAACCTGCGGGCTCTGGGTCAGCCTCAGCTCGTCACGGTCACCCCAGCTTCCTTTGGCCGCAGAAGCAGCAGAGTCTCCCTGACCTTTGACATTACGGAGTGGGGATAGATGGAGGAGCACTCGGTCCCACTCTGGAGTGACCCAAATCCTTACTGTCATTATTCAGACTCTGCCTTTTACTCGTTGACTTTTGTAAAAGATTTTTTTAAAGTTTATGTATTTTGAGAGACAGAATGAACAGGGGAGGGGCAGAGAAAGAATCCCCAGCAGGCTCTGCACGGTCAGCAGAGCTTGGCATGGGGTTTGAACCCACGAACTGTGAGATCATGACATGAGCCTGAACCAAGAGGCAGATGCTTTACTGACTGAGCCACCCAGGCATCTCTATATCTTGCTTTTTAAATCGTGTATTTTCTCTGGTTGCCAAAAAGGCCTCCCCAAGAACTGGCCGGAGTTTCTCTAGGATTCGGAAGCCCCTTGGGCTTTTGTTGTTCAGTCCAGATACCCGCTGGGGGTCCGTGGCCAGTGTGTGTCCTGTGTATTGCGCGCCCATGTTCATTGGGCAGATGGTTAGATGGGGGGAGACCTGTGCAGACAGTGTGGAAGGGCAGGCCTGGAAGCTCTCCTCTGGGCCGATGTTACGCTCCCGTCTGGTTGGCTCTTTCATGGACAAAAGCGATGCAAACGTGGAAGGGGGAGTCAGACTCCTCCACCTAAGGAACCAGAAATGTGCAGGCCTTCCCTAGCCTGGGGGAGGGGGACAAGTTGGTTTCTGGCCGTGTGGGACGGCGGCTGTGCTCATGACTATACCACCAGTGTCAGCATTTTAGGCCATGTTGAACGGCTCAGTTTGGGGAGTCTGGGCCTGGAGGATTTGTTGGCAAGTCTGTTCTCTGAAAGCCCCAAGGTCTGAGTGGCCCCAGACGTGGCCCAA